AGCTAATGTTAGTACAGGTGAAATAGAAACCTGAAACACGAAGGTCTTGGTTGCATGGCCTGAGCGAGTAAATCATGAAAACGAAAACTGCTAACCCTAGGATATGTCCACAAGACCTATGAATCATAAATAGTAAGTGTCACGTGCAACGTAAACTGTCACATGACCATGAAGCGCTGAACCCGTAACACCAATACTAAGCCTTGAGATGTGGAATTAGGGGTGTGTGGGAAGGGAATGCTGTTTATAGAAGAGTCTCTAAGTGTGGGACCATCAAACTTGATCGCAAGTGCGTTATTGATTGCAGTGAGGTGGGTCGGAGTTGATCGTATATGGGATGCTGATCAGAGGAAGGTGGAGAAGCTTGGCTAAGTCCGATGTGTGAAGAAACTGGAAAGTTTACGATATTGGGTAGGATCCAGTGGTCTAGGGCCTGAAAGAGGATCAGATCTGATCAGAAATGCATTTTTTGTTGCAAGAAGGTAGGTCAGAGTTGATCATATATGTGTTTCTGATTAGAGGTCATCGGAGCACCGATGTCTAAGCCAATAAGAGCGAGACCTCAGACAGATCTGTGGGGTCCTGGGAACATAGTGCCGAAAGAGGTAACCAGGTAACGTAGTGTGGGAGTTGTGCTGGAATATCTTCAGTTGCTAGGTAGGCTGGGCCTGATGATGTAATGATGACGAAATGTGCTGTGATTGATGCTGGGACTTAGCTGAAACTGCGAGAATGTGCCTAGTGACCGTAGTTAAGGCAATAGAAATGAGCTGCTAGCTGAGCAATGAAGTTCTGTGATGTAGGCTATGAGCTTGGAGACTCGAGCTCCTCCCTTCGATTGTTGCTTTTTGTATGTACATGTGGTAGGCTTGTATACCTCCCTAGCAGGCCACCACTGAGAGTTTGCCTGCTTGGGTGATTAAACTAAGTATAGTAAGAGAAAGACTGAAACAAGTAAGACATTAGCTGAAACTTGTGACATAATTGTGTTCCTGTTTGAGATACCAGATCAGACCGTTAACCTGCATTAAAACACATTTCACCCCTGCTGGCTTGGCTGGGCAGCCTTCACACATCTTTGCCACGATGGCGATACTTTGCCCCGGATGCCTACTGCCTGATGCCATTGCCGCCGCTAAGTCTGCTGAGCCCTTCTTGAGTTCAGAAGCATCGGCACAGCTCCAGGATGGCTGAGCCTTCCCATGGTGCTTTATTTCCATTGCCTCATGACAAATGACTCCTGTGGTGGCAATAGTGTGGACCGGCTCATCGCACTGCTGACATAACTTTGCCAAAATTGGGGGTTCTCCTTGTACTTTTGTTGGTCAGCCATTCTCACTGTGCATCACCGGTCAGGTCACAGGCAAGAATGGAGGGTTCAAGAGATCTGGTGAGCCCAAGCAACTGACATTTGAGTTAGATCCATTGGTGAATGCTGCAACATGACTATACAGATGCTATAGAGTAGGCTAGGGCTAATAATTGGGGGTCCAGTGAGAACTGTAGCTGTGGGAATGCTGAGTTTGAACATTCCACTCACCACCACCACAATGCGACCATGTGACAAAAGGACACATCTCAGGTGTATGTCCACTAAGGTTCACTGTGTCCGCTGTCGTGCCATCTCTGCACACTGCTCATGTCACTCGATGCTAGCATGTTCAATCATGAGTGCCTACTGAATACATTTGATAGAACATAATGAGTAATTCAGAACTTACGCAGTTTTCTCTCAGTGACCATCAATTCACTGCTGAATGGCTTGTTAAGCTAGTTGCTTTAAAGTACGGAATCTCTCAACCTCAAGAACTTCATATCAGGAACAGACTAGACATCATCAAAGGGTGCAAGGCCTTTCTTGTAAAGTATTGCACCAGTCAGGTCAAGATGACAGTGTTCTGGACCTCTCTACTCGCAGTTGAAGCATTCGACGGGTGAGGCATCATGCTAGACATTGTCCCTACCAAATGATTTTCTACTGTATACAGAATTACAGACGTGTTTAGTCCTTATACTACAATAAAGTAGTGGAGTCCGGCCAGCACCAAAGCTTTGAGCATCAAATTGCTGACAGCACATTGAAACTCCGCATTTCCATGGAGGGTCTTCTCTTTGGACCTCAAGTTATGATCTCAGCCTGAGTATAAGGAACAACTGTCTTCCTGTATGAAGGCTGATTTATGAGCCTAGCTATAGAGTGCCTATCATGGCATACTATGGGAATGACAAAATAGGTATGTGTTTGTCTCTGTGGGCAACTGCAGGCCTCGTGTTCTGATCATTGCCTAATGGAGTCAAACCATATTCTCTGTCGACCTGATCTTTTCACTGGCTGCCCACACTGCATGACTACAACCTCAGTGGTCTGTTGCACTCTATGCTCTGGCCAATACTTCACTGTTCAGCATGACTCTGATGAACTGATTGCACAACCTATTCCTCGAGCATCAAATCTTCACAGACTTGAAGACACTTCCATGACTGACAAAACTCGTGATCTTGCAGTGGCTCTGGATGCTTACTGAAGGTGGCATATGACCAAGAAGTTTGAAGATGCTACGTTGAAGGATCTCAGTCCCAGTGTGGTGCTGCCAAATGCTGTGCTCGAATGGCTTGTGGACTGCGCTCGTTCGAGGAAGATAGCATTCATCAACGACATCAAGAAAGAGACAAAGTGGAATAGGGTGGCACATTATGGAGAGGACATGTTGAGGATTATCACATTGTGAGTGTTATTGTGCATTTTTGGGGCTATATATATATGTGACATTTTTTGATACCCATGGGACAGTCAAGCAATGCGTGGGAGAGTGGACCATTACAAAGTGGTTTCATTTTTCACCCCTGTCCTGAGATTAGGAGAGGGCCCTTCGTTCAAAAGTTCCTTACTGTGTTACATTTTGTGCTTACTCAGATTTGTTATCTTTTGTAATGGGCATACAAACCGGAGTTTGAACATGCACGACACAGCTGATCCAAACAGGTGCAAATACTCAGAGCCAATCACAGCACTGAGTTTGCTAGGGTTAATGCCTTAAGGGCTGATGGATTCAAAGCTGTTCGAACCATTGTATTCAATGGCTGGAAAGTGATTCAAACTAAGGCATTCAATGGCTTCAAAGCCCATTCAAACCATTGTATTCAATAGCTTCAAGGCGAGTTCAAACCAAGGCGTTCAATGGCTTCATAGTGGTTCAAACCATTGTATTCAATGGCTTCAAAGCGGTTCAAACCATTGGGTTCAAAGTCATTCAAACCAAGGCATTCAATGGCTTCAAAACCATTGTAGTCAATGGCTTGAAAGGGATTCAAACCAAGGCATTCAATGGCTTCAAAGTGGTTCAAACCACAGTATTCATTATTTTGTTATGTATTTCAGTACAGTGACACAAACAATGACTAATTTAACATTTTTCAGACTCATTATAGTCTCTGCTTGAGAAGCAAGTAATAGATCTTCACATTCCACTGCATTTCACTTCAATTTCTTCATTCTGAGCATATTGAAACAAGAGCTATTGATGCAATTGAGGTTTTCCATCACCACAGTATAGTGATCCATATTTCGACTTTTTTCAACTTTTTAACATATCAAAAATACATGATAGATCACACATTGATGCTCTGCAATCAGAGCTGCATGCGGACCATTTTCCGGCTCAAAAAAGCGAAGATTTGAGGTCACAGAATGTATGAAGATGTCAGCCACTCAAATTCTCACATTTTAAGGTGCCACAATGCGCATGTAACACCAAATGATGATGTTCATGCTGGCACATCTAGCTAGATGTGCCAGCATGCACATCATAGTTTATCGTTGTTTGTAAACAATGGGAGTTGCACTTTTTCAAAATTAAAAACACATAAAACTGCACAGACCAGAAATTGAACTTCGGACTTCCAGGACACTTATGTCTCAGATAGTACCAACCATTCTATCCACTAGACCATCTGCTATGTATGATTAACACAGCCCAAATATAATATACAGTGATTAACAAAGCTACATACATATTTTCGTGATTTTTACTGTTTTTCTTCTACCTTCATATTACCTGTAGCTATATTCACAGATAAAGGAGACTAGAAAGCCATACTTCTCAGCTTTCAAATGAGTATCTGTTGGCTGAATTTTGATGATCTGTTCTGAAGATATATGCAACTCTATCAGGTGAACTCATTTATACACTTTTGTCACTAACAAACTTCAAAACTCTAGTAGTTGGATAATCAGCCCTTTGCGTCAAACACTGCCTCAACCCATTCATGCATGTTGTGGATCAAAATCTGATGCACAAATCTGCCAATACTCTTTTATTTCTTTTTTAATTGCTTTCACAATTCTGTAATCTCTCTGAGTGGCTCCTCATGCCTTGCTAATCGTTTTATGAGATACCTTCAAAGATGATCTATAAAATTGAGCTCTGATGATTGAAATGCCATATCATTGTCTTAATAACATTTTCGCCAAGTCAGCTAAGTCAAGCTTGAGATTATTATCTTGCTGAAACACTATCTCCTTCACTTTTGCTGCAATGCTTCAAGCCATTTCGAAGCTCATTTCTCAAAATGCTAACATAAGGTCAGATTCATCTTGCCATCAGTGTTAGAGGTATATCTCATTGTAATGGAAAGCTCTTCTGAGGTCACTCTGAATATTTCAATGCAGTTCGAAATGGCAGTTCTGTGGGAGGGGATTGAATGCCCAGAAAGGGTATCAGAGTGCTCTAGGAACCTGCATGGTGGCCTCGACCAAGGTCTAGATAATGAAAAGCTCTTCTGAGGTCACTCTGAATATTTCAACACAGTTTGATATCTTGCAGTTCTGCCAAGGTTCATGACATTCTAGAGGATGGGATTGAATGCCCAGGAAGGGCATCAGAGCCCTTTAGAGATGTGACTGATGGCCTCACCCATGTTTCAGATGATGTAAAGCTCTTCTATATATTACACATTACAGACTTTGCAGCATTTTTCATCATTAACCTTCATTGTCGCCACTGCAATGTAGTTTTGAATGTAGAACATGCTTCCATTTATTTATAGGACTGCAGTTTATCACTTTAGAGAAAGTTCTCTGTTAAGTTAGGTTCTTCAAAAAATAGAAAGATTTTAGAATGGCTTAAAAAGACTCTCTTTGCATGCCAAAGCTGCAAAGAAGACTGGTCAGAAGATACATATGTCTTTGTCAACATCCCTAACTTCTGAGCATTTATAACAAATCAGAAGCAAATTCAGCTAAATTCTGCTATATGCATTGAAGAACAAGGCATAACATAT